TTGTGTTTTCCTCAGTGCATAACTGACACATCACAGTTATATTCTACATCTATAAATGTTGGAAAGTCATGCAAATATATCCATTTTGCTGTCAGGAGTGAACGAAAACAGACGGAGCGCAATAGAATAATAGCGCAATAATTTTGAGCACAATATACATTTTGCTAAAATATTTGTTGTTGGACATTAAATGTGACGCATGTAGATTTTTAATCCTACATATAAGTGTATTTTTATGATAGCAGTAACTGTAAATCAAATGTAAGCTGGCTAATACAGCCCAAATTACTAGCTCAAATGATTTAAATGTGTGTTCCTCTTATCAGTTAAAAATGTAGTCTGATTTCTATTATTTATTTTCATTTTTAATTCAGTGATTTTAACTTTTAATTTAGTGTTTTTAATGCTTTAAAGAGCAATTTTAGATTGTAGTGTTTTAATGTTCTATTAATAACCATAAAAGGTACAGCTGTCAAATAAAAGAGAGAAAGGCTGCATGGCTAGAAACTGCTGATCAAATAAATGCGCAAGTAGCAACTATGTTAAAATGTTTTCATATATCTTTAAAAAATGTCATTAAATTTTGGGCACAATACATTAAATACAGTTGGTTGTAGCCTATTTGTTAATTATTTGATTTATTATTTAAGTTGCATTTTCTGTATACTTTTATTTTTGGACTGATAACGTCAAATAATTGTATGTGAGAGAGTCAGTGGTAATATCATTGCGTTCCTATTGGTAAGTGTTAGAGGAGCTCAGCTTAGCCTGCTTTAGACCAGGTTAGTTTCCCAGCATAAGTTGACACAGTGACTGAGATTGAGCTATGGTAATTTTGCTTTCGGAAACCAAATCAAGTGACAACAAGTCAGAATAACTGTAATAAGCCTGGCTTATTTGGTAAACTTGTTTTGTGGAACCGCCCCCTGGAAGATCTGTTGCAGTTTGTGATATTATTTAACATCACTAGAAAATATAATTAAAAAACAATAATAATGAGTATACAGATGCAATTAATTATAGTAATAAAAGTTAGTTAGTTAATTTAAAATAATTAATCATCCTGGATGGGGGAAAAAAAAAAATCTACTTAAACAACAACCCAAGAAATAGATATTTATGCTTTAATGCATAAATAAATGCTAAACAAAATAATTAAATGTTTGAATAAATGCTGGATTTAAAAATGATAAAAATAGTAATTAAATGCTTAAATAAATAAAATAACTAAATTATCAAAAATGCTCATGTTAAAATAAATGCTTAAAAAATACACACACACACACATACACTCACTCACTCACTCACTCACACACATTCACTCTCTCTCTCTCACTCACACACTCGCTCGCTCGCTCACTCACTCACACACATACACACACACTCTCTCTCACACACACATTCACTCACACACATTCACACACACATTCACTCACTCACTCACTCACTCAAACACATTCACTCTCTCTCACACACACACACACACACACACACACACACACACGTTGAGTCTCTCAAAGAACGCTGGGAATCATTCATGTAAACATTGACCAAAACAGAAAGCACACACACACACACACACATACACTCACTCACTCACTCACTCACACACATTCACTCTCTCTCTCTCACTCACACACTCGCTCGCTCGCTCACTCACTCACACACATACACACACACTCTCTCTCACACACACATTCACTCACACACATTCACACACACATTCACTCACTCACACACATTCACTCACTCACTCAAACACATTCACTCTCTCTCACACACACACACACACACACACACACACACACACACAGGTATAAATAAAATATAACAAATAATGGAAGATCTACTTCACTTGGCGCTATTTAATACCACTAGAAAACAAAATAATGTCATAAAGCTGCAATTAATTGCAATGTTTTATATAATAAAAACAGTGGGAAAACTAATAAATAAATACATAAAAATACAAACAAATAAGTGGCACAAACAGCAGAGTGTCATTAGGTGTGTGCACCTGAAGTAGTGGTTGAGGTCGACGGCGAGGGCTTGGTTCTGCCGGGTGACGCTCACAGCTGTACTGAGATCCTGTGAGATCTGGAAGAGACAGAAGGATGAGACGTCTGCTAGACTGCAGTATGAGGCGAAATCCACTGTAGCCAAGAGTTTCCCATCAGTGCTGTCAAACACATCTGACACACAGCGTTAAAGAAACCAGTAACAGCTCATATTCCAACACACAATCAATGTATATATAAATACACACACATACAGCATATATTTTGAAAATATTTACATGTATATATTTATATTCATAAGAATTATATCATATATAAATATTTAATATATAAACGTAACATTTTTCTTAAATATATACTTGCATGTGTGTGTATTTATATATACATAATAAACATACACAGCAAACATTAATATATTATGTAAACACACTTTTATTTTGGATGCGATTGATCGAGATTAATCGTTTGACAGCACTAATATATATATATATATGAGTGTGTGTGTGTGTGTGTGTGTATAAGAACACATACAGAAATAATTGTTGTTGTTATTACATTACATATTTAATATTAGTTTTAAATAATGTTTTAATATAATATTAAATATATTATTATTACTATTATTATAAACATAAATATTTGAAATGTCATCCAGTCGTGTCCAATTGGTTTATTTATGTACAATTACAACAAAAATATGTTCAAATGGTTGTACATAAACAAAAATCTAATCTGAAGAGTCAGTTTGTGGTTCAGAGAACGACAGTGTCGTGTATTCTCTATCCGGTGGATATCTGGCTGATAATGAGCGTGTTATGTGCTTCATACGCTGAAGGATACATGCGAGTCCAGTCCGGAGCAGAATGAAGAGCGTTCCCCGACAGAGCCGGCAGTCGGCGCAGGCGTCCTCCGTCTGGAGAGGTGAAGCGAGCCGAACGCAGGACAGTGTCTCCAGCTGCGCAGTCGCGTCCGTCCAGCGGAGCTGCAGCAGCAGACATGTGTTCAGCAGCAGCACACAGCAGCCGTCAGCGAACCACAGCGGCCTCAGCGACAGCAGCTCCGTCACGTCTGCACACAAACACAGCGCTTCAGGATCAACAGATCAGGGCTTGATGAGAGCGGGAGGCTAGGGACCCTGGAGCACTAAACCAGTCAGAAGTCGCTGGGGTATATTTGTAGCAATAGCCAACAATACACTGCATGGGACAAAATTATAGATTTTTCTTTTATGCCAAAAATCATTAGGATATTAAGTAAAGATCATGTTCCATGAAGATATTTTGTACATTTCCTACCGTAAATATATCAAAACTTCATTTTTGATTAGTAATATGCATTGCTAAGAACTTCATTTGGACAACTTTAAAGATGATTTTCTCAATATTTAGATTTTTTTGCACCCTCAGATTCCAGATTTGAAAATAGTTGTATCTCAGCCAAATATTGTCCGATTCTAACAAACCATACATCAATGGAAAGATTATTTATTCAGCTTTCAGATGATGCATAAATCTCAATTTCGAGAAATTGACCCTTGTGACTGGTTTTGTGGTCCAGGGTCACATATGGCCGATAATAGATTTTTTACGATTTTTAACTGGTCAACTTGAAAATGTAATTGCAACATGATTCGAGTAGCTTTTTCTTTATGAACCCTCTAGTTAAAGAAAATTCTATTCCGAGTTCAGCACACATGAAGTTGTCAACATGATGTAAATGTTAAACAAATCACTTGTTAAATATCTTTGCAGAAATGATGCATGAACTACAACTATATATTATACAAACTTGTCTTTTACATCTTGTGTGTTCAGAAATAATGCAAGGAAAATGCTTAAAAAAAATTCTCAAAAGTCAAGGTATTTCAAATTCAAAATGACTGCAGGTATAACACCAGTAGACTATTATTATCTATAAATGTTCTGTAAAAACAACAGCAGCCTGTCACCATGATGCAAACATGAGTTTTTTTTTATTCGCATTGTTTTTTCTGTGTAAACATGGATGTGTTTGACTGTTGCGCTCGTGTCTCTTGCAGCGTCTCGTGCATGAAACGGCAGTCTAAAAACACGCCGCTCAAGTTAAAGAAGTTCACTCCCATCTTCTTGCATGTTTTTCCTGTTCCTCTGCACGCGTCGCATCTTTCTCAACACAAAAGCGCATTCTGTGTGATATGAGCGCGTCACCAGCGGTTGGATCGTTCTTTTCTCTTTATGTTATCATTGCCATATTAATGTCAAAGTGTCTGATTCTAACGTTTGGTAATATTTCTATTCAAACTCGTGATTCCTCGATTCCTAAGAAGTTAAATCGTGGCAAAACATTTCGAATGAATCGAGAAACTGGGAAGAATCACCCAGCCCTAGCTTCAGGATGAACCGATCGGAGTTTGATGTGAACGGGAGGCAGTTTTCTCACCGGGGTGCTTGTGTTGAACGCACTGCAGCAGGGATTCAGACGATCTCTCACACAGAAGAAGCGGCTGACCCTGAGGATCCAGCTCATACAGCCTCAGCGCACACTGAGAGTCCAGCAGCAGCAGCTTCAGCTTCAGCTTCACATCCCGACCGCTGCGCTCCCACTGATCCTCCCACAGAACACTCCACAGCAAAGGCAAAAACAGAGAGAGAGAGAGAATATTTACTATATATATATATTGTGTGTTTTTCAAAAAGAATATAAAAAAAAATAAAAAAATAATATATATGCACGAGTAAAAAAAGATTAAATATATAATGTACAAGTAAAAAACATTAAATAAATAAATTAAATTAAATATTATTATATTAATATTATTACAAATAATAATTATAATACACATGTACATAATATAAAATTGATTGCACTTAACTTTGTGATCTTTATTAACAGTAGTAATAATAATAAAAATGGCACAAAGAGAATGGAAACATCACATATTAAATAACTATTAATATTACATTTTTATTAATAATAATAATTATCATTTTAAATATATATTCAATATATAATCATTCATAATATATTTAATATATTTATTTTTAATAAATAAATGTAGTATATGGTTATTATTACTATACTATAAATAATGATAATTATGATGCAAAATTTGCAGTTTACTTAATATAATAATAAAATTGCAAACATAGAACATTAAACAACTATTACTATTAATGTTATACGGTACTGTATCTTACACACACACTTTTCTATTATTATTAACATTCACATTTTAAATAAATATTTAATATATAATTATTCATAATACATTTATTATTCATATACATAATATTATATTATTTCATATATTTATTTTAATAAATTAATATTATTATACTATAAATATTCAATAATGATAATTATGATTTAAAATGATTGCAGTTTACTTTTTGATACTTAATATAATAATAATAATAATAATAATAATAATGTAAAAGTATACAGCAGCATTTTTATATACAGTGGGTACGGAAAGTATTCAGACCCCCTTAAATTTTTCACTCTTTGTTATATTGCAGCCATTTGCTAAAATCATT